TAGTCATGGACCTTTCTCGAGAAGTTTACGTCTGAATTTTATGTGTTTATGGCGACGCCAGAAAATCAACAGGCCTGCAATATTTATATTAACTCGGTTTATTTCTTTCGTTTATTTAAACTGTTTATGTTATTTCTCGGATGAATAGAGCTCTGTATTTGAGAGTTGAAATGAGACGTCATTGTCCACCAAAAGAACACGTGCCCAAACTACGCAGTATTGAATTTAATGAAAGAATGGAAATTAAATTATTATCTAATTATTCTGATTAAGGTAATATTCAAATTGACCGCTAGGTGCATACAACGCCACCTAGTTATGAACGGCCAACGACGTAACACAGCCCAGGAATAATATTTTTCTGTAGTGATTTTCAAATTTTCGAGTTTGGGAAGTATGTAATACCAATTCCCAGAGGAGAAATCGTGAGAAGCAGTACAGAAAAACCATTTTCTGACTCATGTGATTGAAATGCTCACCTTCGGCTCGGATTATAAAGCCACATTCGTTGGAAAATATTTTCATTGCCTGCCCTTGTAAAACAGACCGATTATTTCCGACTGGGTGATAAGAAATGAATCGGCGTTAATGATGTTTCTGTCTTTGCTCGTTAAATTCCGATTGGCTGGTAGGTACAGTTTGGAGTTTGAGAAAATTATGAGATTTAATGGGAACAAGGGTATTTGGCCCTTATCGTCCGATTACTTTCCAAAAAAGTGGTCGATAGATCTCATATTACGCATATAAATATTTAAATGAGCAATATGAGATGTGTCAACTACTTTTTTGAAAAGTAATCGGACGATAACGGCCACATACCTTTGATCCTATTAATTCTCATAATTTTCTCAAACTCCAAACTCTACCTACCTACCAGCCAATCAGAATTTAACGGACAAAGACAGAAACATCATTAACGCCGATTCATTTTTTATCAACCAGTCGGAAATAATCGAACTGTTTTACCAGGGTGGTGACATAATATACTATTACATCACATGGTACGATTTACGGCATTTTAAGAAACTCAAAAACATGAGCCGCTGCCTCGTAAAGAGTAAATTTGACGAGGGTCAAAAGTTGCAAAAGACCAAAGTCCAAGTCATCTCCATTGTGAGAATGTCAATCTGATTATCCATTGACCGTTATTGGATTCTCCACTTCATTATTTCGAGCACCGGAAAAGTCCAGTTGGCCCTGAAAAGAACCATTTTGTTCTGAAGAGTTGAAAAAAGCTACCAAAGACAATGGAATTATGTTTGTCATTTAAGAATGCTGAATGAAGGTAGTTAATGTCAAGACAAAAGATGATGACACGACGAATTCAATAGAGAGCAATAAATAATGAGATTGACCCTTGTAAAATTCATCTCTTACACGGTATGACCCTTACGAGGTGTGACCCTCGAGATGTATGATCCTGGCGAGGTATGAACCTCGTGACTTTTATCACCCTCGCAAGGTATAATCCTCGCGAAGCTTCACGGTTTACGATAAAAGGTAACGTCGGCTGGTTTTTTACATTTTTTGACGTGGATACGTCTATGGTTTCAATATGGGGGTCATTTTAGGAAACGGTCCTTATGTGGAGCGCCATCTATCGGAATTCTAGAAAATTCTAGACATTTCGAGGTAATTCGAGAAGTTTCTTGAAATTTCGAAAAAATTTAAGGAGTTTCTAGAAATTTCGAGGAAATTCAGGGAGTTTCTAGAAAATTCGAGAGAATTCAAGGAATTTCCAGAAAATTTGAGGAAATGCAAGGAGTTTCTAGAAAATTCGAGAAAGAAGGAAAGACCATGGACGTATCCACGTACAATTACAACTGTATCAAAGATACAGCCGCCTGCATTTTACATTTATTACGTAAATTACGGGTTTTTCACAATGTTATGTCTTACGTTAGTATTGGTTTAAAATTGAATCGTCCAAAAGTTTCCTGAAATCACGTATTTTCTGCAAGAATTTTAAATTTTAGAAATCACATGTACAAATGAGGATATAATTAATCTTTTATTTCAATTGCGTCGGTTTTATAGAAAAATTGGGTCATCAAAAGTACAAAAAAAATGAAATGGTTGACAAGTATTCTATGTGGATCAATTATACTTTTTTTTTTAATTTAACAATCATGGTTTTGAATAATGAATTGTCTCATCCTGTGATCATATCTTTTAATAGCAAATTATTAATACTAGCCATTATCAATCAGTAATTTTTAACCGTTTATCAATTTTTGATTTATGATGATTAGAATTTTGATGATGGTTTTATTTTGTGTTTAAAAAAAATTATTTTAAAGACGGCTGTTTGTTCAAATTGTGCTGTTGGACTCATTTATTATTGGACGAATTATATTTTTGAATTAGTTTATTATTGGATGAATTGTACTATTGGAGCAATAGTCAATAGACGAATAGTTTTTGGTTCAATCGTACCAGACTCATAATTTGAGATGTTCGTTTTTTTTTTATTTAAGCATTTCTGAACAATTACAGTTTCACGGACGAAAAAATTTCATAGAAAAACCTATCGAATTCGTTAGAAAATTCTATTGAATTTCTATTGAACTGTTCTATTAGTTTTTGGACGATTCTATTAAAATGTTCAATAGAAAATATTCAGTAGAAAAAGTCCATAGACTTCAATTTTTCTATATAACTTATTCTATTGAGATATTTTCTATAGAATTTCCTCGGCTCAAATGTTCCAAGTTTTTTCGTTTGATTTTTTTGATGAGAAGAAACGACAAATAGGATGCAAAAAACTTAAAAAATTTGAGTCGAGTAAATTCTATAGAAAATATATGAAAAGAATAAGTTATATAGAAAAATCGAATTCTGTTAACTTGTTCTATTGAATTTTTTCTATTGAACATGTCAATAGGATCAGCCAAAAACTAATAGAAAGTTTAATAGAAATTCAATAGAATTTCCTAACGAATTCGATAGGTTTTTCTATTAAACTTTTTCGTGCGTGTTCACTTGCATACATATTTCTCGTTATAAACATGAGACCATGTGAACTATTTATAGATAGTGTGGTAGCTTAGAACGATCAACAATACACTTCAAATTTTTATGGAACATTTGAGAAGAAACTCGTTAATTATAACAAGAGAGTTTTCATCTAGTCTAATTAGGAATTCTCGTGCATGATGTGGTGAGATGTTGGTTTCTCCGGAAATTCATGGAAGGTTCTAATAAGTCCGAGAAAGGTCCAGAACGTAAGACGAGCCACCACACGTATGAAAAAATCGTATAAGAGTTTTCTATACGGATTGCGTATAGAATTTCTATAGGATTTTATATACGATATTCGGGTATTTCTATACGGATATTTTTCATACAAATTATTTCTATACGATTTCTATAGGTTTGATCCTATACGACCCACTGCCACATGTATAGAAACATTTCGTATGAGGTTGCGACATTTCTCTACGTTTTTCTCTGCAGCGTTTAGATATCTTTCGTATGAAAACAAAAATTTATGGAAAAACTTATGTATAGAAATAATTCGTATAGAAATATCCGAATATCATATACGGAAATCCTATAGAATTTGCATACACAATCCGTATAGAAAATTTCTACACATGATTGAGAAGATCTTAATGTATATCCCTGCAAACAGTTTATTTTACCATTGTCCCCATGTTTTTCATAAATAATGTTTATAACATTCTTTAGGTAGTGAAAAAAAATCTCACAAGATACACTACACAGTTTAGAAGATGATAAATAATGAAATTCCGGCTTCTAGTTCGCGAGTCAATTTTTTGAGAAAACGATTCTTACGATGTGCTTGAAAAACGAATCCGTGGTAGATTGATAAATTTCGAATACTGTGAATTTTTACTGAAATTTTATAGTACATCGTTTCTGTGATATTTAACTGTGAAAAATGGAAATTTCATGAAATCATTCTCATTTGATTCAATCAATTAATTAAAAATTAATTTCTTATTTGATTCAAACAGTTATTGTTGTCTTCATTAACAACATATAAGCATATAGAAAAACCCAATAACTTATGAGAATGCAGTAAATTGATTAAGTCATTCAGAATTTTTCCAGAAATCCATAGAGATTAACTTTTAGGTGGTATTGTCTTGGGAACGGCAGAATCCTTTGATCCTCACCATTTTTTGGTTCTTCAAACTGATTGCCCTTTATATATTACCGTTTCGCTCATCGATAATGGTTGGATACATCACCGAAAATGTCTCATTGAAATATATAAATTTTTTTGTTTTTCGACTTGTGTAGGCGTGCAAAATAATATTTTTTTCCAATGAAAATAGGGAAACTTGAAACAAAAAGAATGAAAATTTAATAAATGCAAGCTTAACTATTACGCACGAACTGCGTTTTTTGATTATTGAAAATCTTGAAAAAGAATTGGAGAAAATTTCAGTTGTTCAATAATTTTTAATGAAGTTTGTGATTTCGTCCGGCCAAACATTAAAATAAAAGAATTTTAAGATGATTAAAGACAAAAAGATTTATCACTGAGGAATTGAAATCGGTTGATTATCGCTGATTAATTATAGGTGCTTAAAAAACCGAAAAATCCGAAGAAATTATTTCTCTCATAAGAACCATTGGTAAATTCTAAAAAAATCGGGAGACTTACTTTTAAGCCCCTCAACCCCAGAAATCACCGACTGGAGTAGAGACAAAAATTTTTTTACTTTCAAAAAATTTCGAGATTCCATTGTCATTTTCCATTTCTCCATGGAAACGGAATGTTTACGAAATTTCAATCCACTCATCCTAAATAAAAATTCAAATTGACGAGCTTCTATTCCCATTGGTCAATGAAATTTCAAAATGGCGCTAAGAAAACGGTCAAATTCTGATGAAAAGTCGCCTTAAGGCGGTATGCCATTCCAAGGCAAATAGGCAAAAGGAGTTAAGCGTTTGCTCTCTAACATTATTGTGTTTATCGTTATTCTACTGAGACTATTAACCGGACGTTTTGACAGGTAGGATATGCATCATATTCTGGTAGCATCGATCAAACTTAGTGCACTCCTTTTCAATCGATTCGGCCAGAATCTTTGCTAAACAATCCCAACGGCTTTGACTGAAATTCAATCGGAGTGAGATCTTTCAACTCCGCTATTTGGAGCAGCAAATTATCGACTAGCAAAATGGATACGACGTGCGTAGGCTAATATTTGCGAAACAAAACAATCGGAGTGGCGTTCAACGAGCTTGAAAATTTCGGGGGGAGGGCAGACTTAAGTTGGGACATACGCCAATCCGTAGGAACCGTTAGCTTATTCTTCATTCCAACGTTTTCATGTGTGTGTGGGTGACTCAACACCGAAGCACCCGTCAATTCTCCTTATTCTACCTTCGCAAGTCAGAGGAACCAACCCCATAATTTCGGCACTGCAAACTATTTTTTTCACCTCCATTTGGTGAGTGAATATTATCAACTGAATTGCTAAGCTGTTGGAGATTTGGGGCTTGTCTGAGAATTAGTTGAGTTTGTAAGGGCGGTTTCGATAGAAGATACCAGAAATCAGTGATCACTTCCACTAACAGCTCAAATGGGCTGAGCCAATTCAACAGAACCCAAAATAAGTGATGTGATACCAGTACATGTCCTTTAATTTTGCTCAAGTTTTATTTCGTCTCCTAGTCACTTTCTACCCTACCCAACGGTGAATTTCTCTCACGTTCGAGTTAACCTAGCAACCAGGTTTTTTTTTTATTCCATATCCTCGACATTACGTAGCATTTCCAAAACAGAATGTACTAAAGTCTATACATATTCATTCAACTGGTTTCTCGGGTTATTCAGTTATTTATTTTTCATGAAATGAATGTTTTTTTTAAAGTGAATAAGGACAAATCTCCAACGAAAAATGGCGGTCAATGTTTATGCTACAAATGTAACAACCGACAATCTAAGTCGTCATGATATGCTCGCATGGGTCAACGACTGTCTGCAATCATCGTTCTCGAAAATCGAAGAGTTATGCACTGGTGCGGCTTACTGCCAATTCATGGACATGCTATTTTCCAACAGTGTACCACTGAAGAGAGTCAAATTCAGGACCAATTTGGAGCACGAGTACATTCAAAATTTCAAAATTCTCCAGGGTGGATTCAAAAAGATGAATGTTGATAAGGTAAAACAACCTGTACTACAATTTATCACGCACGAAAAAATTTAATGAAAAAACCTATTGAACTTTCTATTAGTTTTGGTCGATTCTGTTGAAATGTTCAGTAGAAAATATCCAATAGAAAAAGTCAATAGAATTTGTTTTTTCTATACAAGTTATTCTCTTCAGATATTTTCGATAGAATTTCCTCGGCTCAAATTTTCTATGTTTTTTGCATTCTATTTTTCTGTTCTTTTTATCAAGACAATCAAACTAAAAAACTGGAAAAATTTGAGCCAAGCAAATTCTATAGAAAATAGCTGAATAGAATAAGTTGTATGGAAAAATCGAATCCTTTTGACTTTTTCTCAATTTATTTTATTTTATTTTATTTCTATTTCCATTTACGTCTTTACAAGTAGATTAATTGAATTTTATCCATTCTTATTCTTATTGTATATATATTTTCCTTAATTCACATGTTACAACATTTAAAATCTATTTTTCCTGTCATATGGTAAAAGGATGTCGGTATTCCTCATTCCTGTGGTCGGATTGCAATTATTATTATGAAAAGGAAATGAAAAAAGGATCAAAAAAGGGTTATCGGCTAGAAAATCAATTTTTTTCCTTCTTTTATGTCGGCAAACGCTTCGAATCACTTTTTTTTGTCGAGTACTAGAGGGATATCAATATCTCAGCGAGAAGCAATTCAAAAAATGCAAAAAGTGGATGAGTGAACTAAAAAAAGTAATTTTTCAATGTCTCCGAAAAGTTTGAAACTCGATTTTTTTTTTGAAGACTGAAAATTTTTAAAAGACGATGATTGGCTAGAAAATGGAGAAAATTTGTTTTCCTTCATTTGTGTCGGTGGAAACTTGGAATTACTGTTTTTTCTTCGAATATGGGTGGGATATGGATAGTTTAGAATTTTTTGATCTAATTTTAACGAGAAGAAATGAAAAAATAATTTTTCCATGTTTCCGGAAAGTTTTAAAATCGGTATATTTTTCCGAATAATGGAAGAATATCCATCAATTCGATTTCTATCCTTGTCTTTTGGTAGCATGAATAGAATAAATGACAAAAATTGAGAATTGGAGACTAAAAAATTTATATGATTATTATTATGTAATAATATTTTCTATGGAACATTTCAATAGAATCGGCCAAAAACTACCAGACAATTGAATGGAAATCCAATAGAATTGTCTAGCGAATTTGCTAGGGTTTTCTGTGAAATTTTTTTGTGCGCGATTCTATTCATTAGGAGTTGCTCGTGGAATTTTTGTGTATCCATGTTTTTCATATTTTCGTATTGAACGAAAAACAAAAAAAAATGGTTCAGGTGATTCCAGTGGACAGATTGATAAAGGGCCGTTTCCAGGACAACTTTGAATTTTTACAATGGTTCAAGAAATTTTTTGATGCCAATTATGATGGCACTGAGTACGATGCATTTGAAGCACGTGGAAGAATTCCATTAGGTTCTGGAGTTGATGGTTGTCATAATTTGTCCAATCCACAATTGGTACCGTTGACAACTCAAGCAAAACCACCTCAGATGCAGCCGAGAGCTCAGATGCATCACAATCAACAGCGGAACATTGCGCAGAGGCAGCAGGGTACATCAACATGTGGATTACAAATGACATTTACTTGTTTGTTGCATGAATGGCTTCTGTTATCTCATTTTATTCATTCATTCTTTTCACTAGCAGTCACATACAAAATTTATCTATTGCCAGCCACCATCACAAGACCACGCGAGGACCACATTTATACATATTTTCCACCTCTTTAATTCTGTTGTTTATTAATTTGATCATTTACGTGTAGAAAATTCAAGGGAAAATCCTAATTCAGTCGTGGGAGACTCCAAATAGTCTTCTTAGATTTATATTGGAGATACCATAGATTTTCCACATGGTTTGTAGCAATGGAAAACATTGAGAAAAAAATACTCTAGGGGAGGGTGGGGCAATATGGATACCGGATTTAAATAATGAGTTAAATTGGATCAAATCTACTGTTCCGACTTCATTTAAAGTTTATAAAAACGAACAAATTGTCGTAAGACTGCGTCGTAGGAGTTGTAAGGTAAAGCAAAAACGGGGNACCGTTATTTACGTAATAAATGGAAAGAATGTAAAAAATCAGCCGGCGTTACAATTGCTTGCAATTTTCGGTTACTAGAATGTTTGATTTTATTCCGACTGACGAAGACGCAGTATTGTACACATAAATATAATAAAAAATAGTATATTATGGCCCGAGGTCGAATAAAACGCGAATTTTTACTTTACTTTGTTCGGTTAGAACGCGGTTCTCGGTACTCGGGGCATGAAATATTATTTGATGTCCCTAGGACCGTAAAATCGCGATTCTAACATTGATTCCCTCAGTTAAATCGCGGTTTCCGGGCCCAGACACATAAAATATTGTATGTCACACGACGATAATAGTATTTCTCGCTTCGCTCGGTTTGATCGCGGTTTACGGGCCTTCTGACGAAAAATTGCATTCATCACACGGTCCAAAAGTATTTTCTGACGAATGTGATTATAGGCCTCGCCTTCGGCTCGGTCTACAAAGCCACATTCGTCAGAAAATACTTTGTGGACCTTGTGATGAAAATAACTATTTCCGGCCTGTTGCGATGGGGTTTTTTACTCGTGTGGCGTTGGCCTCCGAGCCGTAGGCAAGGACTGGCCAACCACACGAGTAAAAAAACCCCATCGCAACAGCCCAGGAACAATATTTTTCTGTAGTGATTTTCAAGTTTTCGAGTTTGGGAAGTATGTAATACCAATTCCCAGACGAGAAATCGTGAGAAGCAGTACAGAAAAGT